TTTAATAACCTTACATAGCTTTCAAGTGTACATTTCTGTGATACACCATCTGTATTTTGCATCATGTGCCCACCACCAGAAGTCAGATCTTCCGTCACCATATATTTGACCCTCTTCACCCTTTACTACACCCAGTCCCCTTCCCTCTGGTAACCTCCATACTTTTGTCACCCTATATTCTGAAGGTTGAATTGATGTGCCTGAGAGTTGGTCATGGAGAGATAGTCAGGACATGAGGACTATGGCTATTCATTAAATGAGGTCTTTAAGATTTGTTTTCAGTTTACCATAAAGCAGTTTCTTATTATCAGCCTAGAACATAGGAAGACATTTTTCCAAGTTGATTTTCTTGGTTTAACTCTTAAGTGGGCAAAGAATTCAGGATTTTGGTGGTGGTTGTTTTTTTTTTTTTGTCAAGTAATGAGAAAACCATGACTTTCGGAAGGTGATATGCTTTCATTTTAAATTAACTCAAGATATGGATAAAATACCGGGTTATGTTTTCCGTCCAGAATATCTTCGCTCAATTTTCAGTACACATATGTGTATTACATCATGGGTATAAGAATAAAATTATTTAATTTCTTATGCCTTTTCTTTAAGGACAGGTCTGAAAGGTAGATCTAATTTATATAGAATATACAAATGTAACCACTTTCCCAACCAAGTACTTCAGAGAACCTGGGAAAATTCTTCACTTAACCCTTTTTAAAATGTGGGTAAAGGATTAATTAACCTTTTGATTATAGCCTAATTGCAGCAATAACATTTAAAATCTCTATCATATGTATTCATACCTCCACAATACATCTTCATTTCCATTTACATGTATACACCCTGTTTTTTATTATGTATCTTTTAAAAATTAACCATCTCCAAAACATAATTTCAAATAGCACAATAGCCTTCTACCCTAAATATGATGCTCCATGGTTTAACAATTGCTCTTTTTGACAATTAAATTTTCTGATTGTTAATATTATAAACAATGCTGCAGTGTAGCTTTGGATGTAGGTTTTCACAATTTTGTCAATATAATTAATATATCTTATTAAAATCTCCCATTAAAGTATAAGATAGTTTTTATTGTTATCAGGGTTAAGTCTTCTAATATATGCAGCCTAATTATATTCCAGAAAAATTTATAGACAAGTTCCATCTTCCTGAGTCTTTAATAGCATAGGTCATTGCTATTATAATTGATTAAACCACTTTGCTAAATTGATACAAAAATGATAATTTTCAGTGTATATTTTAATTTTCTTTTTTCATAATTCCAAGTTTAAAGGGTTTTTATGGGCCACAAATCTCAAAAAATAGTCACCTCAAAAATAGAATTGTGAAGAACTTTTATTAAAATGTATGTTCATGATAGATTCAAATAAAGAATAGTTTATATTTTATGGAACCACAGTAAGTGTTACCTTGGTGGACAGAATTTATATTTTGTCAGAGAACAAGAGATAACTTCTGTGTGCCTTTGAAGTGTACCATTGAATCTGTTTTGAAACCCATGGAACTACTGAACTTTCAATCATCATCTTACTCTGTTGTGATCAAGAAAAGTTGGAATCATTGAACGGTTCTGATGATGTTTAAGTCAATTTTGATCAGTGGGACCAACTAGACAATTAATATTATTTATTATGTGACAGTATTGTTTCTGTTATATCTCAGAAATACACTGCTCGATAGACATCACTGTTATATTTTTATAAAATTATATACCTGTTTTTTGTCTCCTTTCTTCTCTTTCTAGAAGCAATACAAAACTTATCATTTGGTTTTTCCATCCTGACATATGGGAAATGGGGGAGGAGAATTGCACTGTTTTGACAGAGTTCATTCTTCTCGGATTAACAGATGTTCCTGAGCTGAGAGTCTTTCTTTTCATAGTGTTCCTTCTTATATATGGAGTCACAGTTTTGGGAAATGTGGGCATGATTGCACTGATTCAGGTCAGCTCTCGACTTCACACTCCCATGTACTTTTTCCTCAGCCACCTGTCCTTTATAGATTATTGCTATTCCACAATCATCGTGCCAAAGATGCTAGCTAATATCGTAAATGAAGACAAAGCCATCTCCTTCCTGGGATGCATGGTGCAGTTTTACTTATTTTGTGCCTATGCAATCAGTGAAGTCTTCCTGCTGGCCGTGATGGCCTATGACCGCTTTGTGGCCATCTGTAACCCACTGCTGTACATGGTCACCATGTCCCAGAATCTCTGTGTGAAGCTGGTGTCTTGCTGCTACCTCGGTGGGACTGTGTGTTCTCTGATTCACTTGTGTTTAGCTCTTGAGATCACATCCTACAGATCAAATGTGATTAACCATTTCTTTTGTGATCTGCCCCCTCTCTTATCCCTTGCTTGCTCTGATGTCTCTATGAATGAA